CAGGAAATACGTGAATAACGTATACATATATAACGATCGCCTCGCTCTAATGTCGCCATTCGCAATGTCCGAGGGGAAAATATGGCGCGAGCAATTAACAAGCATACGCTAAATGTCTTGCCGGGCAATTTCGCGTGCGCATACCGTCGCATACCATGTGTACGTCAACGACCGGCGACCGGCTGCTGGAGATCTCTCGCGAGATCTGAGTGCGGGCCAAAGTCAACTAAATATACCGATCCATTTGGCCTCGTAATGGCGCCCGGCGTGTTTGGAGAACTCGCTTCTGCCAGGAGAACGCGCGCGTAGCAAAAGTTAGTCCACAAAGAGTGGCGCAGATTTGTATTTCGGCCGCTTCGTAGTTAAAAGCACCACCGGGGCTTTTCCGCCCCGGTGTTTGTTCAGGCTGTTTATCGCGCGCGCTAAACGCAGATCGTTGACACCCGATCCCCGGGTATAACGCTGTAATCAGAACAATCTCAACAATTGGAAAAAACAACGCGCTCTCGGAATGAATTATATCCGCGATTAATCACGCAAAATCGTTCTCGTCGCGCGACTAATTTTATACAGAGCAAAGCAAAAATAAACTTTGTAGCTGGAAAACGCTTACACGGGTATACGCGGTACCGTTGACACGCGCCGACATATTTCGTTTTAACTAACGATTTTAATTGGGATTTAGGAATATAACTGAATTTTCGTTTACGCGTCGAAATAATTAAAAACAGTTGCGGAAAGTTTTGACTTGCGACACAAATTATCGAGAGATGCAAAAAAAAATCTATATCTACAATCAAATGGAAATTGAGATAATTGAAAATTATACATATAATAATAAATAGTGTTGAGAGAATAATAAACATATAATATTTTTAGAGAAACTTTTTTTTGCCGCTTGTTTTCTCATTTAAAAATGTTAGAGATATACGCTCAGAGCGTTTTCCTCGGTTGGGATTTTAAAAAAGACAAAAAGCAGATAGAGACGAAAACACACACACACACACACACACACAGAGGAAAGATGAGAAAAAGATATCGCGTCGAGGCGCGACGCTGGGGATTAATATTACAAATCGGATTTAGCCTTGGGGCGCCGGTCGCGCGCATGATTATCGGCGTGTCGGCATTTCATAAACGCGTCCACATCAAACGCGGCGCAGGTCGGTCGATCGCGATAATATTTGTCACGTAGTTGCGGTACGTGGCGGCAGGCACACCGTGCACCGCACCGCGCGGCTACACGGTAATCGATCGGCCATGCCAGCGGCAGCCAGGTAGGTAGGTAGATAGGTAGAGGTAGGTATATGTAGTGTACCGTATGCGTGAGATTACTCTTTCAGGTACGTCGCGGGTTATCTACACGCCCCCGGACTTTTCACGCGCGCGCAAACAGTTGCGATCCATCGCGATCTATCGCGCCGTCACGATTGATCCACCAGGATCCGGTTTAATTTAGCTAGTGCGAGAGAGAGAATTGGCGACGAAACATGTACACACATTCCGAAAATGAGTGAATTGCGATGTAGCACGTTTTAATTAAATCCCGACGATTTTCGCGTGAGATATAGGTACATCAATAATTGTAGAAACATAATTATAGTAATTATGTATCCTTAAGCTTCACACTATCAATTGCGTGCATATTTCAACTATAACATATTCTAACTGTTTTATTGAAGTTTTTTTGAATTTTTATTTCTTCACGCGACTCGTTTGATCTATTATTTTATTTCTTCAGTTGCTTGCCCGAGTTGCGTGGAAAAGAAGCTAAATATGAGAATCAAAAATTAATACGACAGTAAAAATTATTAGTAATATAATTATAGCAAAATTTATATATTTATTCTTAAGGATTATACAGACACATTTGTTTATTTATTTCATAGTGGATAAACAACGCCACATAACTTGCCGCAGCACGACTCGCATATATTTCGCGCTTTTTTATCACGAATGTGCCGGAGCGAATTCGAAAGAGTACACAGCAATTCCGCGTCGTATCAATTAACGCCTAGAATGGAAACTAGCCTCCGGCTCGCGTTCCCGATTAACGATTTTAGAACGGCCGACGCTTGCGTATCTGTCGTCGTATCTGCCTTTACATCGGATACGGGTCCGCCTTTCTATGACTACGAATACGGCATGCGAGAACCGTATGCGCGGCTAGCGAGCCCTGTCTTTGTGTATGTGTGTAGCTTTTAATTGGGTTATCTGTCCCGGAATGCCACCGATATAGCGCGTTTCCATGTAACGCCGGCGCGACCCGGATGAAACATATTTCAAAGATAGCGTGCGCGACGATAGGCACGCACACACAACACACGTAATCTTTTTCTTGCGGCGGCGACGGCGTTGTTTATCGTCGCGACCGGGCTCGAATCTCGCTGCTTTATCTCTGTTTAACACTCGTTGTCACTTCCGCGTAATCGAATTATCGCGCGATAAGATACTTTCGTGCTGTAACTTTAGAGAATTGGGAATTGATAAAATTTATGTGAGAGTGTGTTTTGTGCGAGGCCAGAGAGTAAAGAGCGATAAGGCGATTGAATTGCGTGAAATTTCTGTGATATTCAACACGATATTTACTGTATTAATTAATCGTTAAATGACACCTCGCAGAAAATAACACGTTTATCGCGCGTCCAATTTACTATAAATAGTTACGGATGATCAGCTGATATAAATGACAGGCCGCCGCGGCCGCGAATTTCTTCGCGACTTGGTCTCCTCTCCGAGATATGCGCAACGAAAACTGATACCTTTTGACCGCGAGAATCGGATACCGGCAGGATCGGACGTGAAAGGCCGGGTATTATCGATCGCGACTCGCCTCGCAGGACGAGCGACGCGGATATAATCGAATTACCTGGGCGAATTTGCGAGAAGGGACGGGGACCGGAGACCGATTCGAAGTTTCGGGTGTTCGGTCTCCCGGTGTTGCTCAGCCCGAGTTCGTGAAGAGCAGAGCCTGGTCTTTCTCTCCCCTCTGTCGACGAAGAGAGAGAGAGAAAGAGACAGAGAGAGTTTACCATCGATTTAACCCCCTTCGACCTCCTTCCCCGCGTTCCTTCTCGCTCTCCCTCTTTCGCGTGCAACAACACGGCCATATACGAATCTTCCATTTGGAAGATCGAATAGTCCCTTTTCCTTCACTGCCTTCAGCGCGGTGACAATTTGATTCACCCTATACTAGCGGCGAAAAAGTGTCAGACACGAGCGGAGAGAACTCTCCCTCTCGACGGAGGAATCGCGTAACGTTGTAACAAGTTCAACTCGTCGTTGACGACGTCAGAGCCTCCCCCGGAAGAGGGTCGCGTCGCTTACAGATTCACGTCGGGAAGCGACACGCGGCGCCTGCTCGTCAAGAGCGATGTGTTTCTGCTTGAAATTGTTCCTCGTCGCGATTTACGTAAATAACTCGTATTTATTCTGAGACAATTGTACGTATAAATGGATGCTATTATGCGACGTGTTTATGAGAAATTATCGTCCGTAAACAATCGATGTGCCTGCATCACGTATGCACATTCAAGTTATTACTTTTGATATATATCATTAGTATAAAGCTTGTTTAAAAATGTCGATAAATTAGATTTTCACATTCGCATTTTCTCTTCCTCTCTCTTTCTCTTTTTTACAGTCATCGTTGCTGAAATTGGCCCGGTCTAGCACGTTTCCTCGCGTGGCACGAAAATATGCATGAATTATTCGAGGTACGTTAATCCGGTTGGCTTCCAGAGGAGCCGTCGTCGCTGCTGTGCAGTTTCTCTCCTCGTTTCTTTTCCTCTTGGACCAACCTTCCATTCCCTCTCTTCATCTCTTTCTTTCTTTCTTTCTTTTTCGCTCTCTTTCTCGCAGACTCCAGACGAGACGAGGTCGAAACCAGGGTAGAAGGGTAAAGACCGACGAGGGTTGGACCGAGGCGAAGCAACATCGTCAGGCGAGACAGAGAGAGAGAGAGAGAGAGAGAGAGAGAAGGATGGGGCGAGTGGGGAAATGGAAGAGAGGCCGAAGATAGGGATGAGGAACGACGGCGGGAAGAAGAGGGCGGAGGACGCGTCGGAGGAGAAGGAGCGAGGAAGGGGTGACGCGGTGAATGGAGCCGTGGAACACGGAGGCGGTGGTGGCCAACCCCAAGCTGAGGTTGCCGGGGCAACGCGGGAGGCGTAGGCGCTCTGGGGACAGGGAGGAAGGGTTTCCCTCGCTCGTTCGACCGGGGTTGCCGCGGGGGTCGCGGGGACGCTCCGAAGACCGAGGGGGAAGTGAGGGATGGCAATACCGCCGGGGTTGCAGAGTGGTAGGGTTGGGAATGGGGAAAACTGGCTCCAACGCCGACGACCGACGGACGTCCAAGTACCGACAACGAGGGAAGAAGAGAGAGAGAGAGAGAGAGAG